TACTTCCTTCGACTTCGCCTGCGAGTTCCGACGAATCAGTACGTTCCGTGCTTTATCCATTTGAGTTCCGTTTCATTCCTTTCCATTCCGCTTGAGTTCTGCTCGGGTTCTGCTTGTTCCGTGTGAGTTCTGCTTGTTCCGCTTGTTCTGCTTGTTCTGCTTGTTCCGCATTTTTGTGGATCCTCATCCTACCTGCAGGAGGGTTGATTAGGGTCATTTAGACAGGGACTAGTACTCCCCAGTAGCAATCCCCTTTAGGGTCAAACGTGCTTGCTCTCAAGTGAGGCAGTAGGCAGCAAAGACCCAACTGTGTAGTAGATTGATTTCTCTCCGCTGCACTTGTTGTACCCACAGCGGGGAGGTGGAATTTTGGTATGAAGAAGCATATAACCTTTGTAAGATAGTCTAAGCCGAGGGATTGAGGGAAGGACTTCATGCAGGCCAGAGGTTTTTGTGCCATTGGCATGCAATATCATATGATACATTAAGCATCTTGAGCTGTGTACCACGCAAAGTTGAGAAAAACAAATAATCCATGTTGATATACCTGTTAAGTGCATGATAAGACATGGCACATATGAGCACAGTGGGACCATAACTTACTTCTTGCCTTTCTGCAAATCCCCAACTCCATTCAGCCATTTAAAATTATGATGGGCACAGTCTACTGTGCCAACGCCTGTAGCAGCAAGCCCTTGCGACTGTTTTGTATCTGCCATATTGACAGTGTTGTGACTTGAACACATGCTTTTCTGTAAGACAGTGTGAGTAGACATCAAGTTACTAATCAATGGGTCACATACCTCCTGTGCATCATTGAGATGTTCAGCCAGGAAGGCCTTGTAGTCCTTCTCCTCAATGAAGTATGCCCAGCCTTTTGAAAGGCTAGGGTCTGCTTGATCACTTGACACATTCTGTCTCTTCAACTGAAAGTTTGTGTCAATTGCTAAAAATACTGCATACAACCACCTAATGACATCAGCCTCTCACTGTGATTAATTTATGTAGGACTACATACTGTTTTGCTTTCATGGCAGTTTGCCAACCATCAGGTAGATTCTTCCCCAGCTGCAGACATGCTGGACATAGAACCACACATTTGCCCTGTGATGTACCATCTACGCCACTGGGATCATGACCATGTCTGAAAATTTTCAGCATTGTGAGATGCTGCCATTCACAAACCAGGGACTGATCCTACTGACATATACTCTTGATATATTGTATATACTAGTGAAGAGATGTTAGAAATAATATTCACCAGTCTATATACCTAAACACTAAAAAATGCGAACTGGTTTATGTTCTTTGAGAGGTATTCATGAATTTAACATATCTACTGATGTAGGACACTTCAGAGGCTCAAATAAGCGGTGTAATATATTCATTAACACTATAATATATGATATATACAGTCAGAATTGCTTCCCTGCTAAAGGGGCAAAATATCAAATATGTTTTAGTCCTGGGATGCACATATTGTAGTCAGCACTGTAGACTGCTGTACAAGCTCTCAGACAATGAAAAAAGCGGTCTATTGTATCATTTTATGTATGTACATGCCATTCTACTACTTATATACATGAGTGAGCAAGGGGAAAGCTCTGGTGCAGCAGTAGAGCCAGGGAGGTATGTGGGAATAGTGAGATTATTGGAATATCCCAATTGGGTGATTTTTCCGGTGGTAGTGCTATTCTTGGAAGCCTGAGAATCACCAAAGGAATCAGAAGCCATCAAGCTAATCACCAAAGGAGTCAGAAGCCATTAAGCTTAATTGTAGGGGATTGATGGTTTACAAACAAACTTACAAAACCATACCGTTTCTAATCAGTGAGTATTATGCTTAATTTTAACAGTATAGCCTGGATGGCCCTTCTCATCGACACTTACATCAAGGATCCACCCAGCGCGAACATCTTTTTGACACCAATACTGGCAGCTTTCCGTCTTCTTTTCTCGCTCTCGTCCACCAGCCGAGGCTTTGCTGCCAATGCTGGCGGCTTCGGTGCGTTTTTTTTGCCCTTGGACTCTACTTGATTGGCGCTTATAGAACCCTTCATTAGCAGCCTTGTCTGCAATATAAATTGATCATCACTCCGAGACCTACTCACTTCTCATCACTCCGCCTCGTCCACCGGCCAGGCCTTAAAAAGATTCGAGGCTTTGCTGCCAATGCTGGCGACTCTCAGTGCGTTTCACTCCGAGACCTACTCACTTCTCATCGCTCCATCTCGTCTACCAGCCGGGCCTTAAAAGATTCGTTTATAGAACCCTTCATCAGCAGCCTTGTCTACAATATAAATTGATTATCGAATCATGTCAGATCTAATAGTGCAGTACTAATTTTTCTACGGTACGAGAGTGTGTATGCGACGGAGTGATTATGTGTGTGCGTCTCGTTTGTGTGTGTGTGGCGTCTGTGCGTGTGAGTTTTGCATGTGAAGAATAGTTGAACAGATCTAGCGCCATAGTGGCCACAATCATCCAAGTAGGAAGCCTGCACACGCTCTTTTCGGTCATAAGGTAAGAGAATAACTTTCATTGGTAAATAGATAGGTATCATGGTACTTTTACTGACGAGTGCATAGCAGGCAACGCATTGACAAGAATAACGTTCAAAGTATGGTATTACTGTCTCAGAGAGCACCTGCATCCTCACGCCATAATCCGTTCAAGCGTTGACATTGATAGGAGTGCAGCCAAGGCTGATGACACCATTCTGGAGAGGGTACGTTAGTTGAGATCTAAAATCGTGGAACATTTGGCACTCACGTAGCTGTTGTCCTCGCAGCACAGTGGCTGCTGGTTGGCGACACAGCCACTTGAAGTGCCGACGACGGTGACGCCGGAGCATGTGAGACCCACAACAGCGTCCACCGCTGCAGCAACGTTGGCGATGCCGTACAGAGGGTACATCCCCTGAGCCGTTGAATACTACAAGTTTTTTTAATGAGAACTTCATTGCAGGTCTTGCAAAATTCAGAACTCACGCTGGTAGAGCTCTCGCAGCACTGAATGGTACCAGTGTCACACTGGCTGCTCTGAGCAACAGCAAAGAGGGCAAACGGAAGGAGAGCGAGAATACTGGCGATCATTTTAGGTGATAAAAGCTGATTGAGAATGGTCTACTGAGCTCGGTGGGTGGAGATGATAGGATGCTTGAGAGGATACTGGTTCGTCTTTTTTGCCTTGCTTTTATGCATTCTCTGTTGATCAGGCCAGTGTACGGTTACGAAACATTCAAAGGTGAAAATTTTCAATCCAGGCTTCGGATTCTGATCAACAGATCTGTAGTCCCATGTCACTTGGTATTACTCAGTGAGTCAGCAGTACGTTGTCCATCTTCGGCGATAGCATTCAATCCTCGTGGGAGGCTAATTGCGCTGCTCTGCCGTACATCCTGCCAGATGATGGGCCAGAACGGCCTGCGATCGCACGCAGAGTCTACAAGTAGCCTATTGGACGCTCGCTCTCGTCACACTCAAAATTAAAATGATTCTTCGGATCGGCATTTGTAGTCACAAGTACTGGTGCCCGAAACAAATTCCTGATATTATTGGGAACTGGACAACGCCGTCATCTCCGGAAGTTGCGATTGCAACGGAGGGGGCAGAACACGCTAGATCACATGTGTGGTAACATTTTTGCTGCGTCCGTCTTGATTGAAGGCTAAGTATGTGCATCTCCAGAGTATCACAGTGGACACGACAGCCTCTTTAATTTTGTGCCATAAAGGGACTGATCGGCGGGCGTAAGCGCTAATCATCCAGTGCACAACAAAAGTTTGTCGTTGACCGTAGTGTCGATCTAGTGCCGATCAGTCATGGGCAGCAGCATCCCTGTCGACTCGAAGGCTGCCGGGTACGATGCCGTGAGAGACATCGCATGTTTTGCCGAATCTTTTACTGGAACATGCTAGACGAGATGAAACACCCGACCATCTCTCGCTGTGTGGAACGCGCAGGTAATGTAGCTCACTGTTGTAGAATTCTATCGCCCTGCCCACCATTCCTATCCTAGCCGCTCTCTACTGTGTCCTCTTCGTATCAGGATCAGCATATTTCAATAGACCTGCTTTTCTTTGTCTTTCCATCGGGTCGTGTCCTCCTGTGCCTTTCTCCCCTCCGCGGTCACCGGCTAGTTCTGCAGACGCGGCAGATCCGATCATCATCTGGCCGCTCTGTCGCCCCGCTCTGTTTTTACACAACAAATACAACCAAGTAATTTTTAGCGGTGGTGTCTGTAGAAAGAAAGTTCTTTTTTCTAACTGTTATAGCAGACACAATGTTTCCTTCATCATCACGGTAATCCGTCGGTTTTCTAGTCCGATGTGTGAGCAAGTCACTGGAGATTGGCCACTCATAAATGAATACTTTGAGTGTTCCGAACTGGCCAGGTTGGTCCACTTTCGAGGATTAATACGTCCTGAACATGTTCGATCGTGCGCCGCGGAACGATCGCAAACATTCCGGACGTACAACATTATTCATAAAACTCTGGCTCTTCCTTGAAGCCAAATGTCCGTGGTATCTTCCCTCCCTAGCGGTGAACGTATGATAATACCTGATAGTGCGCATCGACAATCGACGCCATGTTTCGAAGCATTGTGATGTATAAAAACCTAGGGGTGAGATACCTCGATAGAGTCGATGGCTTACGAGTCAAATATTTAGTTTGAAGCCATCGATGTTAGCCGGTGAACGCACGATGTCACGGAGTTCCGGATGAAAGTTGCCACTGTTGTCAGCAGAAGATCAGCAGAAGAAAAATGGGAATATCGAGAAGACCTTACTTTAACCCTACTCAATAACAGTTTATTTCACCAGTTTATTTGCTGCTCAAACGATAAGCGGTGGGAAATAAACTGACAGCGTTATTGAGTGGCAGTTTATTTGCCAGTTTATTTCATACGCGAAGTTGTCGGAGTGAACTGAGAGTGATTGTGATGCCGAGCAGCTGAAGTACGATTGATGAGGAGCAAAAGTATACCAGCATCGAGTATGAGTGACTACTGGAGCGAAGACGGACAACAGAAGCTCGCACTCGAGCTTGCTTCATGGGACCACATCTCTCTTTTGCAAACCCCCGATTTTTCCGATCAGCTCTCTGCACCCGCTGAACTCAACTATGCTGTTGACCCGATAACTGGGATGCGTCGTTCTCCGCGCAAGCATCGAGATCAGCACCAACACTCACAAAACTATACCCTCCCACCAATTTCATCCCTACTCACCACCAGCACACCGGGTGGCTATCTCGAAGATCTTTATGCAAATTTTTCTCCGAGTCCTAGTCGCATCGCAGATCAGCAAAACCCCCAGCATGATTTGCAAAACTTACTCCTACATTAGCACTATGGAACCCAAGTTCACGCCAGTGCCGTCTCTGGAGACACCACACCACTACCATCGAACAGTCCCGCAACAACATTACCCACAGGTCCAAGTCCAACGGAGGCTATCGTGTCTAGCGTTGAGAAGCCTCCATCGAAAGCTCCCCGCCGGGCACAGGCCAAAAAGCCCAAGTCGGACACCAACAAAAAGAAAACACGCACCAAGGGTGCAGGTAGCAAGTCTGGGCCTGCAGGTCGTCGAGACCATGGTGGTTCGGACAGCGAAATCGCAAAATTGAGTCCCGAGGCAATCAAAGACTCAAAAATCAAAACTCCTGTGAAGTCAGAGAGCATACGAGGACTCACTGACGACAACAAAGTTAAAGTTGTCGAGTATGTGACGTCGCCAGAGCGCTGGCCTAGTTTTAAAGTTAACCAAGCGCACTACTGGAATAATGTGAGTGGCAGTTGAGTGTCTCGTACATGGAACTTACCTGTACATCAGATCTCTGGGAATTTGTTGAAGGGTCGGGTGACATCTGAACAGGTTCGTAATTTCTGGCATGGTCAGGCCTGGGAGAAGTACAAAGCAGTCCGTGAAAGGGAGGAACATACTGGTGGAGGAGATGGAGACGAAGATGGGTCAGATGCCGAGTGTAAGCCATTGAGTGCTAAAAAACGGAAGAGAGGTTCTGGTGAATTCTCCGCTAAGGTGTTGGACGAGTTTGCAAAGTCCAAAATTTACCAGTTAATTGATGCAGTGTGCGTACAAAATCCATACAAAGTTCAAGTGCTGATGTACAAACAGTGCTCGCAATGATGAGAGCGTCATCCGTCATCGTGAATATCATTCAGCTACCCCTCTATCTGATGAAGATGCCTCACCCATGAAAAAACGGATCAAACGCTCGGAATCCTATGATGGTGACACCTCACAACTGCTTCAGCAAGTCATTGGACGAATTGAGGAGCGAGACAAAAGGCAAGCACAGCTTGATGCCAACAATATAGAGCTTGCTCAAAAGAAGGACAAAAGGGATGAGGAGGAACGTGCTGAACATTGTGAGGCTGCAGCAAGGCAAGCAGAATGTGAACGACAGGATGCATTCGACAAACAGTGGGATCGCTGCATGCTGATGGTTGGTAATACAAATCCACGTGTTCATGCATATGGAGAGAAGCTTCTTGACGAGCTGATGGGAGAAAGAAGCAACATGATGTAATGTGCCTACATACAAGAATAATCAAGGAGGTTTTTTCGACGTAGCAGGCCTGTGCAAAATAAATCATCCCCCTCTAAGTCTGGGTGTTCCTCTGCCTCTCCTCAGACTCCTGTTACATTCTCGTCTTCATCCCCATAAAATCCATCAATGCTTGTTGGGTCATCCCCAAGACCTTCAACAATATTGTGAACGATCATCAGAGCCTCGAGAATGCAATACATATCCTGCAAATTCTGACCAGGCATACATCGTAGGGTGGGAAAATGACCTTTGAGTCGACCGAATGCATGCTCAATGAAGATTCGCAGAGAGGACAACTTTCGATTCCAATTTTTGCGACGGGTCACTTTGACTGGGTCGTTGGTAAGGTCATGGTCGTGAAATGGTCAGATAGAGAACTTGGTGAGAGGATATCCTGCAGTAAATATTACAAATTGCACATGTAATGACAGCTTGAAAATGCCTTTGTCGACGAGGATATATTCATGGGTATTGAAATATTTGCCTCTGTTTCACCACAGGTGCGAGTTTCTGAACACCCTGCTGTCTTGAACACAGCCTGGCCAACCAAACTTGTAGGACGTGAACATTGCATGGTGATCACACATAGCCTGCACAATAAGCTAATGACATGGCTGGCATATTCTCGTACAAAAATAAATGAACTTATAGCATAGAATTTCTTGCGACAGTAGTAAGCAAAAGGATTCCACAAAGGCTTGTCTTGGAGTCTGATATAGCTACCATCCCCTATGCCAATACAGCCGGGAAAACCCCACTCGTCCATTGCATCAGACAACTGCTGACGTCGGACAGGACCAGGCCATGTCAGGAATCGAGAGCGAAGGCGGTGAAATGCCATGCACACACGTTCAGTGTAAAGATAAACAGTTCCTTCAGCAATCACCACGACAGACGCTGTTTTCAGTGCATTTTCGGCACCTACACGACATAGAAATGTTGCGAGTTGATATTTTATAGGGCGCTGGGGTCGACCGCCACTCATGGATGGATAGAACGTGGGATCGTCGCTGATGAGATCGTGCAAATACCAGAAAGTCCTGTGGTCCATACTACGCAGTATTATTTAAGTCAGGAATTGAAGTATATGAAAAAAACAACTCACCGCAGCCAGACTTTGAACGTCCTGTCTGACGAGACATTAAGGAGGGTGTCAAAGAAATCCTCGGACTTCTGTTGGTCATATGGTCCTCATCTACCGCACCTACCATTTCGTCTGTCCTGTCGACGGTGGTCCAAGGCCACCAATGCAAGTGAAACAGCAATGAGCTGATCCCCGGAGTCTTTCGCCTCAGCAAGAAGCACAACTGTGAGAGTTTCCAAGAGTTTCGTAGTAGATTCTCTCTCGCTGATCCGTTGGTGCTGACGTCAACGTCGTTGTCGATGCACTGAGGTATCACGCGCCATGAGTGTTCATTTGCAGAGTCTCTCGGCAAGTCGGTCGGCGGCTCCTATTTCACTCTCCACAACACGAATGCACATCAAACCTTACTTGACAGTTTATTCCAGTTTATTTCGTCCTGCTCACTCAAAAAAATAAACTGGCAAAATAAACTGTTATTGAGTAGGGTTTTTCATTATTCGGAGTAGGTCTTTAGCAACCCGCACTATCTTCAAGGTGTCAACAAGGATCGTCGGGATCTAGGGCTCTCCCATGATTCACAAAAGAGGTGAAAGAGTACATCCCAGACAATTCATCCAGGACGGAGAGCCAGTTCAATATCTGGCAGCCCGAAACAACACCATTCTCAACGTCCGCGCTCTTTTTTGCATGCAACCATACGACACCTTCACGAGGTCTGCTCGACGTTACGCTCAGCGTCTGCTTATGCCGTCCTGTAGCCTCAACACCATGACTAGGAGACTCACCAGGGCCTCGAGGAAAGATTGTATCATCTCGTCCTGATATATGATTGAGGGCCAGGCTGTGCTTGATAGCTTGTTATGACAATGGTTACATAGGGTGAATATCCCAATTATATGTAGAAGTACGAGTAAAATTTCCATTTGAGAATAATCATAAGGAACAAATGTAAAAATGCACGTTCAATCATCGCCACCAAAAGTTGACAGCGACAAACCTTCTGTATTGCAGAGTCCATAGTAAAGGATAAACGACGTTGTCACGACCATTCGGTTGATACTATTACTAAGTAAGAAAGTGGGGATTGACGAGCTGTCTGCTAGTCTTCATCTTATCCTCAGCCAAACAGTCTCTCTTGTAATGAGCACAAAACAGATTGAGATGATGGCATGATGGTGTAATACCTGTTTGGCATGCTCGTGTAAGTAGCAAGAGGACTAGTGATGTGCCGGCCCAGCTTGGCCTGAAAGCCACGGCTTTGGCCTGGCTTGAGGCGGCTTTGGCTTTCAAAAATCTCAGGCCAGGCCGTCAGCCAGAGCCAGGCCAAAGCCACGGCTTGGCTTTGGCCTGAGCATGGCTTGCAGAGCAAAAAGTCGACAAGTACATTTGCAAACTAATATAGGCTAGTAATCTGACATTTCAGATACAGATATATCATCATCACTGTTGTTCTCGTCATCCAAAATGAATGTGTCCCAACCATGTTCGTTGTCTGCGACATCACCCTCCTTCTCCAAAATATCAGCTTCGGTGTCAGAGTCATTGAGTTCTTCTTCCATGAGTGATGATGGCCCAGCCTTGCGAAACAAAAGATCATTGCATAGTGAGCATTTAAGACTTTGGAGCGCTTCCACTATATCACCTTTGAGTCGATTGTGTCGTTTACTGATTGTGATTCCGCCTTGTGAAAATGCTCGTTCACTTGAGACAGACGATGTCATGATGGAGAGATAGTCGCGTGCAAGTGACGCCCATGTCGGGTACCTCGGTGCATTGATCTTAAGCCACATTAACATCAGTGACAAGTTTTAGAGTAGCAATGATATACTCACACCCCACCACTGAATCGTGCTCATTCCAGCAGGTGGAACAGCCTCAATAGTCTCGAGATAGCTTAAGAACTCGGCTCTCCATGGTCTTGACGGGTCTCTGACAGATGGGATAGCAGTGTTACTCAAGTTGTCGTCATCAGAGTCACTAAGAACTTCTCAAATAAGCTTCTTCAGAGCGCCTGCTTTACTTTTCCTAGTTGTAGGCTCTGGTGACGACAACAACAACATGGCTGCATTTAACTCGGAATGACGTGCTTTGAACTTAATATGAATTTGAATCAGATTGAAAAAAAATAAAGGTAGATGACTAACCACAGCCTCGGCACAGGAAAGAACGTCATCTTGGAGATGTTCAGGCCATTGTTTCTTGAAGTACGACATTTTCGCAGTTGGATCAAGCACTGTAAGTTATGATCAAAGTTAGCACAAATCAATTCAATTATAGATCTGCACGCACGCATGGCCAATACATATGCTGGTGTATTTGTTGTCTTCTCATAATATTCATCCACCTTCTCTGTTGCGGCTGTGAGTGCGGGTGTGAAGCGAGCATATTTTGCTCTTTCAGCACGTGAAGACCAAGTCTTGTGCAGGGTTTCTAGTGCTGGAATGGCGAGATGTAAAGTTGAGCCCTTTTCGGATGAAAATGCTTGTTGAGCAACGTCAGCGTATGAGAGAAGATCTGCAAAATGTCCGACATGAGTCCATTCAGCGGTCGACAGCTGTAGGAAATCAATCTTGGTGCGTTTTGTCAAATTACGCTCCTGTCGACCCATCTCATATACAAATGTATCAACATGCTGTACCAAACATTCAGATATAATGAGTACATAGTAGATATCGGGACCAAACTTACATCCTTATTTGTTTCAGCGTGGTTAAGCATTAAAAATGTTGATGACCACCAGACTTTCATGTCGATCAAGAGTTGAGTGGGCCGAGACACTCCTGCCTTAGTCTGAATGTTCCTGTAGAGGTCCTTTTGTTGTGTGGATGACCGTTCCTGAAGGAGTTCAAGATATGATACAGAGATAGTAGATACTTTAACATACCTTGACACAAATAGTGCGGATGAGTCCAATTTCATCCCGATCATCCATGTGTTGCGATGTGTCGGGTTCATGACCTTTCGGATCATGAGGGCTGTAATGGGGGGCTTTACTGTATGTGCTGAGGAAGGTCTGCATCGCGAGGTTAATAACGTAAGCTAAGCAACTATGAAAACCATGGTTTAGTGGTAGAACTAATTAAGTAAATAACAACAATGACTCACTTAATTCTTTGCTGGTGCCACGGAAACATTTTGGTGTATCTCACTTCATACACCCGTGCAAATTCTTCTAGTGTAGTTCCATTGTTTGAGGCATTATCGCATGTGATGTGGCCAAGCTAAAGAGATATCAGAACAACGATGCGCTGTCATATAAATTGACTGACCTTTTGCGTGACACCAATCCGATCAAGAATCTTGAATAACGCACCACTGAGGCATTTACCATTGTGCGTGTTATTCACCTTTGTGAATCCAAACAATGCATTCTGGCATTCCCACTGTCCTGGATTGTTTTCTTCGATCCAATGGCCTGTCACGGCAAAATATCCATCGGTGTTGCTCGCCTGCCACGCATCGCATGTGATATTGATAGCCCCGCTGATGGAAGCGCTCTGAGTATATCGGATCAGTCAATATCAGATGGTGTCGAGGATTGTACTTACATTAAATTTCTTCTTTAGTCGAGCTAGATGGTTCTTGAACATTCTCATGATCTCTGCTCGAGTGGCCTTTCGACCCGGGATTTTGATGCCTTGAGTTGCACGGGAGGCAACATCCACCATCTCCTTGAACCTTGGATGTTTGAGAGCCTGAATTGGCTTGTGGATAATTATCATTAGCATAGTGTAGTAGTAGTTTATGATACTAACATACCTGGTCTGTCGCAATGAGCCACTCAATGGCAGCTTTTCGAAACAACTGGTCAGAGTAAGGGATGACCCATTCCAAAATCTTGCGCTCTGTCACATGCGCATCAATGCTTTGCTGTGCTTGCATGACCTTCTTTTTTTCAGCAGCAACATCACCAGGCAGTTTCGACGTAAAGGCATTGGCCTTGGCCCATTTCCTATATTTCCCCACAAATCGAGCTTCGGCGTGTTGACGTAGTGTAGTTGGCTCGTTCACAATGATACAGTGACCCCTGCAAGTAGAACATGTAAGGTTTATAATAAAGACAACACAAAGGTGAGACGACATACAGGCAAACTGTGCATTTATGGTGCTTTTTCACTATTCCATTAGCACCGGTGCGCTCAAAAGGTTTACCAAAAAATCTATCAAGGTCATGGGTCTTATCCTCTTGTGAGGGACCAGGGTCAGTAATTGGCTGGACATCGATATTGGCAAGAATTTTGTCCTCGTCGACATCTTCTTGATCCATTACAGCAGCTTGACGGACTCGTTTTGCTGTTTTCAAATGAGCAAAATGGATACATTGACAAAAGCAAAGGAACTCACATTTGGGATTTATACGGGCATTTTCATGCTCGTCTTCACGCTCGTCATCACTGTCTTCTGTTACAGTGCCTTGAAGGACTCGTTTTTCTGTTTTCAAATCAAATCAAATACATTTACAGATGTGAAGGAACTCACATTTTGGATTTGTACAGGCATTTTCATGCTCATCATCACTGTTTTCAATGTCAGTGTCAAAAATCCCTTCACTCCATACCCTTTTGTTATTCTCAGGAGCAGGAGAAATTTCGGTCTGGTCAGCAGAAACTAGTTGGCATTCAGTGGCAAGTTTTGCAGCTTCAGCAGCACGGAAGTCGTTGATTGCTTTCGTTTGGGAAGGGAGGGCTGCCTTCTCTGAATGCTGGAGAAGTGCAGCTGTAGGTTTTATTTTGCGCACCGGGCGCACAACAACATGGAGTTCATCTTCGTTGTCTGTGTGGATTGTGCTGACCATCAGGATTCAGAGGCTAGTATGAGGCAGGGACAGAATGTGGTGAAAAATATCAATTGGGGGTGCATGACACTGTGATGAGCAAGTACTTAGTAAACTAGGATACTAGACACATTGAAAATTAGCGGATCATAGAAATAAAGATTTGCAATATAGACAAGCACGAGCCGATGTCAAAGTGTTGCTCACTCGTCCCACTTTTGGTTGTGCTTGCACAGAATCACTCTCCCCTTGTACCCATCTCGGATCCTTCAGCTTTCGACATGCTGGACCTAGCGCCGAAAAACACACTCATGTTCAACCACTTTATGGTTTGTGTGGTGAGAGAGTTGCGAGAGAGTTGGGAGGCACAGGTGACTCGGCCACTTGACAGGCAAATGAGTTGCTAACAACAAATATACCTATGACACGAAAGTAAGTTATAATGATGCACGGATGTTGCGACTCACCAGGTCTTCTGATATGATAGCAACGTAGTCCACAAGGGGAGTTCCGAGAAACAAACTGGTTGGTAACCGTGCTGACTAAGTATGCAAAGCCGTGGCCTGGGCTGCCGGCTTCAGCTTTTCAGTACCTCAGGCCAGGCCAAAGCCATGGTCAGGCCATGATCTTTGGCCTGGCTTGGCCTGGCCCACAGCCTGAAGCCGGGCCATGCACATCACTAAAGAGGACATCGGGTAGAGATCCAGCTTCCCAGAGCACTGGCAACCTAGAATTGTATAACCAAATCGAGCGCTTCCATAACATATTGCAGACAAGGAAGTATGCATTGTGCAATGCAGCAGGAATGGTGGGTATGGCTGTGATCAATCAGGCGAAGATCTCCACAGACTCGGATCTCCGAGTCCACCGAGTTGAGGCTGCCACTGGTTGTGAATAATTTGTATCTGTGTTACAGTGCTCATCAGAACGGCAGGAGCTGCAGCATGGAACATCAAAATGCAAGGTCGACATTAGGATAGGCTGTCACCATAAGTAATGCAATGATAAACTTTGTAATGTGCTAGGGTAAACAAAGCTTGCATCAGCAAACTAGGGGGTACTTGTACAATGTTGTACAAGACTGTACACCTTAGGCAGCTTGGGAGTATTGGAGGTCTCTCAGAGACCTGACCATCACAGAATCGGGCTGGAGATGTTTTTAATAGATATTTTTGGCAAAACCAAAGCAAATATGCGCAGATTATATCCAAAGACAAAGTAATGTAAAAGCATCAGCATCACAACGTCAAACAACAATAAATTGCAGGAGAACTCCAATTCTGATGAAGCTTTGTAGGTCTCACAACTGTGATAGTTGGCAGATAAACACTTGAAGGAACTCTTGCATCTCTCCAAAATGGTGGTCACCCGCTGTACGAGCTTGACTTCGCGATGGCTGTTTGTAATTAGATGCAGTCGGCAAATGAGAGTTACAGTATGCTTCTAATATTTATGCAGTATTGCCATCCCTCACCATTAGCATACGCTAGTCAGCCAATTAGCCTAGTACTAGTAGTAATGCATAGGATTGCAGCTTTCTGGCCATACAGGAGGGAAGTTCAAGTTCTGCTCCAAAGGTCTCAGCTCTATAAAGACATTTTATACATGGACTCAGCATACAAATTGAAAGCAGCACCGTACATCCTATCTACTTGTGTGTGAATAATGAAATAGGCAAGTCCCATATAACTCTCAGAGACCTCGGGGAACTGAAGCCGTCACCATTGGGAAGCGCGCCAAACTGACCAGTGGGGATTGGCTGAATAATGATAGGCTGAATGTCTTCCAAGTTCATTCGCCTGTCACCAGTGGTGTCAGAGATAGTGCTTTTCGCATGTCGCAACTTTGTGGCGATCTGCAGAACATTAGTACTCCTAAATGTAGATCATGATGAGCTAGGTAAAACAATGCGCAGATGAAATTTACATTATGAAGGGGAGACTCCTCACGGCCTCCGAGAACGCTGGAAACATGTGTGGTTGGTCATACATATGGTCCAGAGCCGTCATGATAATGTCATTCATCGGTGCTGGTTCCAGGATATTCGCGATGTCAATATCGGCATCCACCTCGACCTCGACCTCGACCTCGACCTCAGCCTCAACTTTGTTCCCAACCCCGGCCTCGGCCTCGATCTTGGTCTTGTTCTTCCTCTTCTTCTTTCCATCCTTCATGATGAGAAGTAGAGTATGGTAAATCTGATATATTGACACAACTTCTGTTAATTTGATACAAAAGGATAAAGGGAGGAAAGACTTGCGAAAGTCATTAAATTTCCAACCAGGTGTTGTGCTAAACAATTGAAGCTTGACAGAACCTCTTCTGGAAAAAGGTTGCCGATCCTTCCATCGCGTTTTCCATCTGATAACCCTTCAATGGGATACAAAAGGGATGCCCACAGAACTTCTCGAAATATCTGGTGACTTATGAGGTCTGAAATTGCTTGCTGGACCTGGATAACAAAACACTTGAGGTTGAATTAGGCTAGTTGGTCTCCAGTCTCTTACCTGAGAGGATTTGCCTGAGTTAAACATCAGAACGAAGGAGATAGCCTTCTGGCTCATCTTGGTGGCAAAGTTGGGGTGTGCTGACATCGCACCTTTCAGGACTTTTCCTAGGTCCGATTTAGCACTGGAGAACAACTTGGCCAGCTGCTCAAATTAGTTCCTTGGAGGAAGTAAACGCAAGGACGAGAGAAAACATACACTTAAGTGAAGCACAGGCCATCCGACAGACACGGTTTCGGTCTTTGAGATCTTCATGATCACTGATCAAACTGTAAGATAGCGACTCATAATGTAGCATCCAAGATGCAAGGCGCCTACCTGGTTGGGACTCCATGGCCTCGTAGGTCTTTTGAGCCATGTCTAAACTAGTGAGAAAACAATTCGTTATCAAACATCGTGTGTTTGTCACAGAAATTCGAAACGGGTTTCCAGAAGCTCCTGTCCACAAACCGCCAACAAACAGGCACTTTGTGAGTGTAATGATTCGATTCCAGGGTGACCTCCTCATGAAACGAAATATTTGTGTGTGTTTCACCCCGTCCACAGTACTGATGGAGTCTCTCCACTCTAGGCTGGGAGGCACGACCTGTGGTTGCTCATCGAAGACCAGCTCAAGTTGTATTTCATTTGTTTCCTCTAGAGTGAGTTGCTCGTCAACACCGCTCGCAGAATAGCCAGTGGATTGGTCGTAGAAGTTGAAGTCACTATTTGTAAAATCAGTGCAATCCAAACCTGGCGCAGGCGTGCTAAAGGTAGGCATCTCCATAGCATATGGAAGGACTGGATCGGCAAAATCGAAGTGCTCGAGGGGTGAATGTCCCGATGGAAATTGCATAGATGTGCTAAAGGTGGGTGTCTCTACAGCACATGAATCAGCGACAATGAGACGCTCGGGGGGCAGATATCCCAATGGAAATGGAGCATGATGGAATTGTACTGATCCGTTCAACTCTGGAAGCTATCAATGTGACATGAGAAGCCATGTACGACCACTACTAAGGAACAAAACTCACCAACCACGAAGGGAGAGCTAAACCTTTGACACCTGGTCTACAACAGGTAGAATTGATTGACCGGACATAGGCACCACTCTCCACCTAAGTTTGTACTTGCATAAGTGAACCGTCTGGGGTGGTGAAGTTCTCACCGTTATTGCAAATAAATTGTGGATATAGTTGATATCCCCCTTGCCGGGGACAACTAGCGTTCCAACTTGTAGAAGTGCATGAATCCAAGGCTGATCATCCTCAAATATTCTGTCACACTACAAACAAAACAACACAATGAGATAATTAGTGATTTGAGGTAAAACTCACATAGATGGGGTAGATGTGGTCGTAGTCGGCCAGGTAACCAATGAGAATGAATTCTGCCCCAGTAAAAGTGACAAACAGATGCTGAAATTGCAGGTTAAAAGGAAACAACGGCTGATGGACAGTGACAAACCGGTTCGCTCTAGAGGGAAAAATTCAGCGGATGGTTCATAGTACAGAGTCTACTTACAGCGAGTTGTATGAGGCGAAGGATGGAAGTGCATTGTGGCATGTATAGCCACACATTGGACATTGAGGGAACACTATCCATGATCAGGGTAGTAGGCAAGTGAATTGACAACAAATGAAGGCCGGTCATTGATTATAAGACTAGCCATGGATTACCAATGGCCAGAAATCATGGATGGTCAGAAGCAAATAGCTAGGAATGCGTGGTGGGCAGGAGCGGTGGGCAAGGCGGTGGGCAGACGTGGTGGGCAGTCCATGAGTAATTAAAATTGTGCCCATTGAGTAATGTACATCAAGAAAAACTGTATCTCTATATAGAGGACCATCCTCTATATAGCCCCGATAGCACACCACAGCTCTATACAATCTATCACAAGCTATCACAGCGCTATAGACCAGTATAGACATCATGAAAGTCTATATTACCATAAAGTTTGGTAAGTGTATTTAGAAGTAAAACATTTCAACAACTATAGACCCCAGTAGACTGTGGGAACTTTTTTCGATGAAAACCAAAGTTGTAGTCCTTGTCAAGGGAAGTCTATCCATAGTCTAATGACTTCAATAGGTTAAGATCCTAGTGAGTTACAAGGAAAATACTCGAAATCGAAGGGTTCAAGAAAGCAACTTGACCGTGGGAACCTTTTTCGATTAAATCAAAGTTGTAGTCCTTGTCAAGGGAAGTCTATCCATAGTCTAACGACTTCAATAGGTCAAGATCTTAGTGAGTTATAAGGAAAATACTTGGAATTGAAGGGTTCAAAAGTGTTAAGGTACACCTTATTTATGTAAGCAAAAATGCGAAAATTCACCTTATGTGTATTCAAAATCCTAATGCTAACAGTCAATTTCATTGTCTTTTTCTTACTGTCATAATCCTAGTCCTAATAAGCAAAAACTCGAAAATTCACCAAGTCTTGTGTTGTGGCTTTGTTTGGCACTGCTTATGTAAGCAAAAATGCGATCAACCAACAAGTCTTTTCCCATTCTTTCCTTCCCCCCCACTGCCCCCTCATTAGATTATCTTCCATATTTCTCTTACAATTTTCGAGTTTTTGCCTCTCTTCTCTTCTTCTTGCTTCTCTATCCTTCTCTTGGTGTTGATGTTGTTGGTGCTGGTACTGGTGCTGGTGCTTTGAACTCTGGTAAGTCTCCCCCCATAATTTTCGCATTTTTGACTATTTGACTAATCTTTTTTCTAACCCTCTCCTTCTAGCTCTCTTCCCTCCTGCTCCTCCTCCCCCCAACTATTTTCGCATTTTTGACCATTTGGCAAGTCTTTTCTCTGACTCTCACTTCCTCCTGTCTAATCCTCTCCTTCCAGCTCCCTTCCCTCCTCTTCCCTCAAGAATTTTCGCAATTTTCACTATTTGGTAAGTTCTTTCCTCTCTGATTCTTCCTTCTAGTTCTCTTGCCTCTTCCTCCTGTAATTTTCGCATTTTTGCCTGTTTTGTAGTTATTAGTTTACATGTATTGTAGCAGTTGAAATATAATTTGGAATTTTCGCTTTTTTAATTTTTAATTTTGAGAACACTATCATGGCAACAAACAGCTATTAAGAGAAATTTTTGCTTTGTGTTTTGAGCTATAAGAGCTACAATAGCTACAATAGTTGTGGTATGTTCCACCCAGCTATAGCAACTTTAATAGAGCTATATAGCACTATACACTGGTGTAGTAAGCCTACACAATTGGGCACTTGGCTATATGAGCTATAGGGCTATGGAGTCTGTATAGCAGTCTATAGTGCTATGGGTGGCTATATAGCCTTACCACATTTTCCTGATGTAACACATACTTCACATTAAGGCCGGCCAGGAAATCAGATCGCGCTGTAGTGTAACATTAATTTTCGTAATCATAATCGAGGGTGCAGTCCATGAACATCTCATCTAGTGCCTCGACAATCGATTCTGTGCTTGCATTCCTTTCCGGCCCAAAAAAACACAGCTCCTCGACACCAAGGTAATTGCCCTCTTCATCCTGTTCATCCCACTTTCCGTCAGATGGTTGGGCGATTTCTGTTGGGTTGTCTTCAATACATTTGTCTTGCACCTGGGCACTTGTCTGGCTGGCATGTTGTGGTGCGGAGTTACGAGCTTCTAAGACCCCCGCACTATGTGAGTAAACGTGCCCTACCCCGAGGCTAAAATGAAACCTCATGAGGGCGTCACGATCAACAAAACTAATAGAGTTGTAAAATCAGCAGACATGGCCAAAAACGGACAGAATCACTCACCTATTAATGTAGTACTCTTTCTAATCGTGTTTATCTCCCACTACGGGAGAAATCCCATCATTCAAGTTGCGCTGGCCTCGAGAGAAAGCTGGAATAATGTGACATGCCCTCAGCACAGCGCCCGGGTCCACGAAGCCAAATGCTCCCGGATTCGCTAGAGGCAGGAAATGAACACGGCACAAATTATGCGTTTCCCATGCATGGTCTTGTACAGACTCATACCACCACATGAAAAGGAACTCTGTTTGACGAGATTCATACACATTCCCAGCGCAAACAACGTTGACGTGGTGTATACCGAGGACCTTGGCATAATGGTAGTGACCATTGTGCCCATCATCATGTTGGAGCAGCATGATGTTGCAATGAGGGGTTCTCGGATTGATGACGTCTTGAGCCCTTCAAACATCATAAGTTGTATAATTGAGCCTCACCAGGTTGTGGTGATAGATTCTGTTACGTTTAAAGAGAATGGAAGCACGTTCTTTGGTGGTATGGGTGGCTTTCTCCATAGAAGGTCCAGAAGCTCCTGGGCCAATACGGTCCAGAATATGGTCTTTTAACCACGGCAGGAAGTCCTAAGACGCATGTCAGAACGACAATGAGTAAATTCTAAGGAGGTCAGCTACCTTCATAGCAGGATCTCCCACATGACTGCGAAGGTAATGACCAACTTCATTGTAAAGCTTCTCACTTTGGCTGATGTGGTGGTGTAGCTGGGGATCACTCGCAGTTTCGTTTGACTCTGCATGAGAAGCCCGTTGTTGCTGTCGTTGTTTAATGCGGTGCAAGCGCGTTTGATGCTGCTCAATCTGAGTTAGCTGTTGAACAAATGCTCTGTGATCAGTTCGGCGGTATCTACCCTTCGGCATGCGGTGCTCCAACTCCCCCTAATAGCAGTTGAGTTAGAGGGTGGATGGGCAGTAGATTATGGCTTACTGGCTCTGTGCTGTATGAATCTGTGGTTCCAAAGCGACGGATGGAAGTCACATAATCCCCCAGCGCATGAAACTTGTAGGTCTGAAGATTGAATGACTTCTTTCTCCTCAGTTGCCTTGGTAAGGGTGTATCCAGCAACTGCTCTGCACTGGCCTTCTGTTTCCCTTTAGCATTGGTACTTGCTGCAGTTCCTCGCCCAATGCCATTCGCCTTGCCTGTCTCCGTCCACTTAGCTGCATCTTTTGCTTGCCGACAAGACTGCGCATCAACCTCACGATCGAGCTCCTGGGTGCTGTACGCAGCGCACACTGTCGCCTTAAACTTACGAAATTGTTCACTGAGATCGGTCATTTGTTGGTCGAGGATCGCTAAAGTCAGGTCAGAATGCATGCGAAGCTTGGCAAGTCCATGCCAGTGTGCCATGATGAAAAGGAGATCCATGATAATTTTATTGTGACCTTTGGGGAGCAGGCCTTTGAAGACCGGGATAGAACACTCGTGCCAAGTTAGTTCACAAAGAAATGTGAGAATTATCCCAAACACATACCTGAAGAAGATCTTCAAAGTTTCGTGCAGCCAAGTTTGACAATTCAGAGGTGTTGACAGAGAATTGCCTAATTGTTGCAGGCCCAAATGGGGGAACCTGTCTGTACCTGTCAGAGGTGCAGATGAGTGTGGTGGGCCTTCATTGGATATATATTAGCCACCTTCTATCAAGCTCGTGGACCAGGTCCTTATTCAAGGCAAAAAGTATTCACAGTAAATGAATTAGAAGCATACACCAAACCCCTAGTTCAAACTCATGCAGGAGATCGACAACAAGCGCAACAAACACATTGAATCCAAACACACTAAGGCTGTCTGACAGCGAGTTCTAATCAAGGGTGAGTGAAGGCCACAAGGAAGATGGATGATCGTGCTCACTGAATTCAGTACCCACGAATCAGGCTTGAAAAGCGACTCGACTGCTGCACTGTCAATGCCATGGTTCTTCTCGTATATGAACCTGCGCGTGGTAGCAACAGGCTGACTCCTCGAGGTATGAGACCGTGCCATCATTGAACGTTGTTGCCGATCACGGCTCATTCCCAGATTATGAAGGCGAGCGGTCAGTATCAGACATCATGTACAGGGACAACCTCCCAGCTGCTGAATAGTCACAATGAGAACCCTGGCTTTGGTGAGCTTGGATTTCTTTGGAGAACATTAGTGACTCACTTCTCAGGATAATCTGCAGAGTAGGTAAACAATTGCGGATAAAATCGGCATTTTATCCCGTCACAGCACAAAATCACGATCCTGTGCTCATAAGCCTCCAAAAATTCGTGATTGAGCAAGACTTTCCATTGAGCCTGAAATAGTTCGCGCTGACAATGTGTTGTGCACTTGCGACCAACCCCCTTGCCTCCAGTGTAAGTACCAGCGAAATCTTTGAATGAGTCTGGCAGCTGCCAAGACGTCAGTTTTGAACGCTGAAGAGGAAACTTTAGAAGGGTAATCGCACCTTTTGAAAATAGGCCACATGGTTAGCCAGATTGCAGGATGGTTTGCAACGGCAGTATTTGGATTCATTTCCAAAGTACATATACAACGGCCAGAGCTTCACATTGCCAAATGTTGTCAGGTGCATGGCATCTGACCAAAACATGAGTGTGACGACCACGCGTGGTAAATCACATCCCTCCTCTTGAGGAGACTCCTGAAGTTCACGGTGCGTGTCCATAAAAGTTGGAGAGGTGTACAGTTCACCTTGGATGTCGACCTCACGGGGAAGATGGGGAGCACTCCATCACAGTTGGTAAGGTTCGTAATGAAAAAGTTCATCATCCTGAGGATTTGAGAGCTTTTCACGAATGATGGAGATGAGAGATCGATGGTAAAGGTCTGCTGCGATGTATGGTTGAACGCCTGGCTGAGCTGCATTCCGAGAAAAGGGAACTTGAATAGTTACTTGCGTTTTGCGCCAACCTGCATCCTCATCCTCCTATTTGTCCCTCTCATCATTGTCAATACTCGCACCCAGTCTCAAGTTGATTTTGTCCCATGGCGTACTCCGGACATCATCGGGATCAAAATTGGGGTGACCGACAATATCAATCAGCTCTTTGAAGCTTTGATGGGACTTCTGTATGTTGCCATTCCAGTACCAATGACCGAGCTCAAAAGATGATTGATTGGGATAGGGGTGAAATGAAATGTTGTGAGTCTCAGCAAGGGCATCTAGCTCTGCTGAAGCAACAGCTGGGACATAACTGATATCTTGGAGCATTACTGCTTCTTCCGGGTCGTGAGATGGGGGGGTGGATGAGAAGAACTGGCAAATCAATCTGAAGACATTCCTAGCAGTGCAGAAAGGGGGAACTGGCAGAGAAGCACAATCACCGGTGGACACATCAGTTGGTCCCAGTGGATTAAGCTCTGGTGCTGGGGTAGTATGGCCAGGGGGGGCGCTTGGAAGAGGTTGTGGGAGCACATCCTCATGCTGCCTATACCATAGCGCCATGGGAACGCCAATACATCAGCTCCTCCGCTGTGCCAGTGATAAACCCTCATCTTCATCTATTTCCATAGGCATGGCGCCAATACCGGTGCTAGATGCAGCGGCAGGTGGATGGTCCTGCAATAAAGGTCCTGCACCCGAAACCTCATGTGGGTGGTGCATTCTTGGCGGAGTTGAGCAGACGTGTAAAGGCTCAGGCTCCACATTGAATGGCTCATTGACCTGTTTAGCAGACAGGAACGATCCCTGTGGATGGTGGGGGTGCGCACTTGAAGATGTAGTGCTAAGGCGGGTACACCCATCGACTCGTGACCGTTTTGCAGAACCCAAAAGGTCCTTTGCTTTAGATAAAGCGGAAAACAACTGCTTCCTGCCCTTCGTGCACGAGCGTTGATGTTTACTGTAGGCATTCTCATGCGTGAATTCATGCGTACAGGTGCATCTGAAGGTGATTGGGGCCCACAATGAGTCAGCCTGATCCATGACGATGAGGAGCAGAAAGCGTGAGGAGCTAAAGACAATATAGTTGAGCCCAATGATAAAAGATCATTGCATGGAATTATTTACGATTCGGCAACAATAAAATTGGTCACTAACGATGGTGAGTCAGTGTGATTACTTCCAAATAGCCTTGGCGCTATGATGGTGGGCCACACGGTGGGCTGGTGCACTTGATGATGGCATGATGGCATAGGCTGAGTTACTGCATCATAAAAGCGAGGTAAAACATGTCCTACATCCTTGCTACACCGGATCACTCACTGGCAATGGAAGCTCCATTTTCACCTTCTTCAACCATTACTGCCCCCCCTGACTACCATGAAGCCGCCCGACGGTTAGCCAGAATGATTGCGGAGGCTATGACATGCAACTTCACCCTCATGCATTATGATAGTGCCTTGGAGTCCATGATCAAATGGTGTTGGTGAGATGGCATTGGGATCCTATGCAAATGTTGAGCTGACACTGCTTAAAAAAAAACGCAGGCCTATCGGTTGTGATGGAAAAAAAATTCCGCCATCCCATCTAGAGATGCACCGTGATGGATACGATTTTAGATTCCCATGCTGCTTATGTGCTGATGGTGGTGGAAGAGGGGTGTATGTAGAGTCTGCTGTGTATTCTTGGTGGGATGAGGGTACCAAAAAGACTGATTGGACCACAAGGTGTGCAACCAATAGATGCGGATACCAAGGTTCGGTATTCTTCATGCTCAAGAAGATCTCAGAATCAATATCACCTAGTGAAAATAGATAAGTACTTCTGGCTACCATCCTCAGCCGCCTTCTGGTACCCTCAAAGAGGTATGATTGCTTCGTTGCAGCACTGCAGGTTCATGACGGACGATAAAGAACAGGAAGTCTTGCCTGAGGCTATTTGACTTGAATGGACCCACAGGGAGCAAACAGAACTGTTGAACAGACTCAACTCTTCTATTGGTGATGGAATTCCTGCAAGGGAGTTCTGGGTCCTGTTTAGACGCTGCAAAAATGCATGCAAGTAGGAGCAAGGCCATTGATGAGCCGTCATATCTGTTCAGGTGTGACAAAGCATGTACCACGGTCACAGTACACTTTAATCGAGTCAGTGACGCTCTGTTCATAACATATCTATATCGCTACATCACTCAGCTTGATAGTACTAAGGCCCTCCATCATCGAAACCAATCTGATAGCCTTATCACAAGCTGTGGCCCTTGATGATGAATGGACAGTGTGACTGACTGACTAAGACCTATGATACAACATAAATATTGCAAGGATATTCCAAAGCATTTACATAGACACTCCACAATGATGTAAAATAAGTTACTGAATTATGTAATTTTGATATCGTTTGTTGTTTGGCACTGGGTAGCCTGATACTTGCCACGATCGAATATTGAAGTTCCAGTTATAGATAATCGATAATCCACTTTACCCACACCAATACACAGTAGTACCATTTGCATCACTTACAGTAATTGGCCCCTGTTAAGCTGTCAATCCCCCGAAACATAACACATTATAACACTTAGATGTCTCGCACAAATCACGCGGCTTGTATGGGATCGTTGCCAATGAAAGGCAGAAGCGTTTTAGTAAGTAATGATTGTAATCAGCGACCAGTAACTAACGATTTTTATCAGATGCAGATTGACATATGGTTCGATTCGGTAAGTCTGTTGGGAACTTCTCAGCGATGGGCTTACCGAAGATATCCAGCGTCCTGCTCAATCGGTCGCCGCACCACCCATGCGCGGTCTGGCTGCAGCATAAAAACCACATTTATCCGTGTTGTAAACAAGGTGAAAGCAACGCTTCAGGTGAGTCACACAATTTTCATTAGCACGATCATGATCACACATGTTGCCCTGTTTATGTAGCTATAATGACTCAGAATCAGGGTTGATTGTCACGCCTTAGGCATTCACTGCATAGCAAAGCCTAATGCATCCATATCATCATATACCAAGTTGTAGCATATCTTCATCCCCTCACACCTCAGCGCTACAACAGTTGTATCATAATTTAGCATTGTACAATATCTCGGACTCCGTGCAAGATCACGATTTATCTGATTTTTAGTTTTCCATAGACTACATACATATTAACACACCGGAGTACGATCCTACAGTGCCATCTTACCCTACTCCTACTATATCTATCACGATCACTTCAACTGCCAGTAGTCTGCACGGTCGCTAATTATATCCCTGGTTTAGGGTTGTTCCAAATGGAGTCATTATGATCAGGATCGTGGCGCGGAATATAAAATACCAGTATACTGATTATCATTGTGTGAATGTTGAACCATGGCTACAACCGTGACAGTACATTCATTCAGTCGCGAGTTCTAAAGCTGTTCATCTAGCTGTGATGCAAGACCCTAGTTGAAAGAGTTGATTAACAGATCTCGCAGCTGCCCGATTGCAGTATCCCTATCTGGCCAATGCAACTTGGGCGGTACACCGAAATGGCATGGTCATGGTGAGTGTGGTTATTACAGGACGAACACCGAGTGCTCACCACTCAATAAAATAGGGATTCTCTATGTCGTGATTATGACGTCGATGTGATGCAGATTGAGTTGCCTCAGTTAGTGACCTTTGTTTGTGACGATGTCGACCTAACCGTGGCATCAACAGGACTGAAGTGCATGGGGATTGGACCGAGTTGGTTCACCCATCAGGAGCCATATATAACTACAATGCGAGAATGGTGAGCACGGGCTGGTATTTGGAGTTATACGCTCACTTTGTGGTAATAAAGACAACATACGTCGAAATGAACTTAAGGACTTGTTCAGATGAACGGCTCCAGAGGCTCGAGTCTTGGATTGAAGCGTCAAGAGCCAAGCTAAACGGAAAGCAATATTTGCTAGTTGTGGAGCCGATCGTAGCGAGAGAGAAGGAAATCTATCCATACTATTACGTCGTCCCAGAGAATCATATCATTACCTGGGTAGAGCCAGTGAATGTCTACCTTCTTTTCCAGGAATCTATAGCATCACACTGGAACCATAAAAGTACATTGCTTTTTTGTGCATTGATTCTTGGACTTTATTAGACAGGACTCAAACTGGAGGCTCAATATTGGTGAGCGATTGACAAAGGATGTTATACTGACACAGAACATTTCTCACTGATTGAGTAGGAAACATGTTGAATATTTTCCTCACAAAATCACAATACCCCTCTTGGAAATAAGAGCTTTGCGAATTCAACTGAACTGGTATCGTGTAGGTGAGTTGTTTAGCGTTCTAGAGCCCGATCAAAATGACCTGAACAACAAACAGAAGCATTGGCCATTGAACAATCAACAGCGGCTTCAATATTCTGGACTCTGGACCAGATGAAGGAAATGACCGATGAGCTGACCATTGCTGGCACGTACCTTCATCTCATCTCTCAACATTATCAAATCGATGACTGACACAGAGGAACTTGCAAAATCTGATGGGATCATGAAGGGACCAGGTGTCACAATCTGTGGTGCGTGATTTAGGAAAACTGGCAATCATAAAACTCATCTTTCACAAGGTAAAATATTGCACATGCTCCATATGATATCGTTTTCTTGTGCCAGACATTACTGAATTAAACAATCAAAATAGGTCATCATGAATACCTGAACCATCATGGCCAACCTGAAGCTCGCTTAATACAAATGCACTCACTGGCCGAAAAACGTAGAGACCTCGAAGATTCTCCCTTCATGGCTGGCGCTACAGTCATCATGCTTTGGATTCCATTAATGGTTCTCAGACACCTTAAAAAGATTTACGTTGATGGCCTCGTGAATGGGGTGGACATTAGGAGTTTTACTGACGATTTCAGTGCCCAGGCTAAAGCTCAAGCTACTGTGGTAAGTGCTTTGTCGTGGACCCAAATGAACACACTTACTATGACTTTGTCTGCTCTGACAGGCAAGTGTCATCATGGCAGTCAATGCCAGCATCCTTGCTGTCCCAGGTTTAGGCACACAACTCACCACAAAAACAATGTGCTCCATCTCCTTCATTCTCAGTTTCTACTGTATTATTGGGGGCGCAATGGCACAACACTTTAGTCACAGACTGCGATCCCTTGACTTTGCAGTTCAAACAATTTCTTTTTTTGTAACATGGGCCTGACATTACCAACTTGACAGGTGTATTACCTACAAGGGAAGATGGCCAGTCTTGCAATCATCGCAAGTATACCAAGTTTTTTGTATCTGATGAGGTAATCAAAACTTGGATCAAAATGTCTTATTACTCACGGGACCACTGTAGTTTGGCATTTTCCATCCTCGGATTTCTCGCAGGCATATTTACAGCTGAATTCAGACTATCTTTATCTGCAAAGATCGAATGCATGCTGGCGCTCATCGTTGGGGTGGGCCTCATAATTCCATTGATGATCACCAGTTTCGGTCCTGGACTGATTCGATGATGAGGAACAACTCTTGTATTGGAGCAACACATTAATAACTAACAAATGATGAACGATGCGGATTAGTCATACATCCGTAGGGATATTCTAATACCAATAGCTAGGAAGACAGTCATCATATGCATTATCAATACCATCACATTTCACATTCCTTATAAAAAAACTTTGTTGCTTCTGAGACCCACATGACAGTGAGTCACGGTCTTGAAGTTAAATGTTCAAGTTGAAAACCAAGTACTACTAGTAGTAGATACAATATATCCCTCACAAATTGATTCTGAATTTGCCTCTACTGGAATATACAGTATGATTTCCAAGGCTTCCAGTCGCACTTTGCCTGATCTTTATGAGGCTGCAATTGCAGAACGGGTAATACCAAGGCGGCGGAAAGTTGACGGCCCACGGGTGAGTTATTTATATCTTTTTGATGCCTACCAGCTTGCCCACCAATCTTAACTCCGCGGAGGCTGTAGGCACTCAACATTCAATATTCAACCACCACTGTGCATACATATAAATACCGTTTATTATGCATATCACACTCACTCATGTGCAGCCATTGATTCAATATGCCAGCCTGTCTTTCTTTGGATCTGTTTGATTACTCAAGTGCTCGCACAAGCATTTTTCAACTCTCGAATTCACTGGGCTCCAAAATGCTGGATGCCTATATAGGACTGATCGCAAGTCAGAAGGTCAGTTGGTAATTTCACGTCTTTGTATATACTGATCGTTTTCTGGTCACGTAGCTTCAAACTGAATTATATGTTCTGTCATCTTTGCTCAAAGATCGAGTCTATTCTGGCGATCTTTGGGAAATAATCGGTGAGCGCAGTATAGAGGTGATGCAAGAAGAAATGTTGCGCAGGCACCAGTATATCTGTACTGGTGGGGACAGTGGAAGGCATGCTCTTGTAGAGCAAGTTCTCATGGACGAGAGGAAGAAACGGTGTCAGATGGAGGTGTCCTTGTATAGTCAGGCGATCGAGCTCTTGGAACAACACTGGATGTGTGAGCTTATTCAAATTCAAGTGCGGCTGTGCGGTCTGAACCCACTTGTTATTTGTAGCACACTTTGGAGCTCAAACCAAGCATGCCATCAGGCCAAGTGTGATGCAAACAGTTACACCTGCCAACTACATACCTTTACCTTGCATGCCTTTAGCCTGTTCGATAGCAACACAAGAGACGTTCAAAGCTTGGCTAACGAGGAACAATGCCCACCACCTTGTTCCGTGTTCAGAACCTTTGATTGAGAAAAATTTACATTCGGATGGTTCTACTCTTTCAGTCTTTGGTCAATCGGCCTCGCAAGCAGGAAGACCAACATCCATCAGTTTGAATGTTAGTACTGTGATAATCTGCTCAGCTGCTCTCACTGTCTTTCTACAGTGTATTGGCTCCTCATTTTCTCTGTCAAGTACATGGGTCACTTCCAATGTCCAAGAAAAAACTTTCATGGCATTCCAAGCAGAACTGGCCATGCAGGCGGGGTTGATGGTGACGTCCCTTGCTACTAGGCGTAACAATGCTCGTCTGCGTAACCTTGGGCTGGATTTGCTCATCTTGCGGGCAAAGCTATGCCGCGCCCAAGCTGAGATGGAGCTCTACACAATGGCTATTGAAAATTCCCATGTGTGCGGCTTCTGTGATGGCAGTAAGCACAAGCTGATTGTGCTCCCTTCCATTGCTGATGCCCTTGTAGGTTTGTCCACGTCCCCAGATCTGATTGTTCCACGACATCTACCCAAGGAAGTAGACCTCATCCACGATGAGGATGACGATGAGGATGACGACAGTAATGGCACAGGCAGCAAAGACTATGATGATATCAATGTTTGGTGATGCCATGAGTTAGACCAGACTAAGATCAACATCCTGTGTACATGACAATATTTTTAGCCATTCCACTGGACCTAACCTTCATGACTTATTACTGCCATTGTATCAAACATTGCTAGCTACTGTATCAATCAGTGTTATTTTGGTGTAATCACAATAGAGGACTTCACTCCAGTTTTAAGAGTGGCAAAGCTACTTGTATTGCTGCCACGGATCACTGATTGACCATGGTTAAACGTTAAATAGTTATATTTGTGCTTCACCAACTTGGAATATTCCAATTCTTTCTTTCCTCGACCCTCACATAGTACATCTTACTAGTAGTATCTATTAAGCATACCCAATTTGGCAGGCAATATGTCACCCTTAGCTTCTTGGTGGGTGCATTCAATGTTGTGCGTTCATTTGCTGCATTATGGGCTTTTGTCAAAGTCCTGAGGGCACTTCGCTGGCGATTGAAGACGACTCAACTGTGGGGCCCACCTCGTACCAGGTTCATATATGGCGTTTCACAGAAATTCGCACGACCTCGTCTCATCCAAAGATAGTGCTGCAATGTTTGAGCATTGGACGATGGAGTATGGGGTGGCATATATGATTCCAAGCGTCCTTGGACAGACTATAATTGTGCTACATGACCCAAGAGCTATAGCACATTCTTATGCCCGAGAGACATGGACATATGTGCAGACGCCCCTTTCATTGGCACTCATAGAGTCATCGGTATGACATCTTGCAGATGAAGGTCTTGCTTCTCATGGGTTACGAAACGACATCCAGCGAGTTGATTTCTTATCTGCTGCTGTCATATTAACTGACTCTTCATTGGCAGTTAGTCTTACGGTAAGTCCACTGTCCAATAACACATGTGCACGCTATTCATGTGATGATCAGTGGGTGCTGATCGAGCTATCGCAACACCCCGATGTCCAAACCAGACTCAGAGAGGAACTGCTTGTGTTTGGCACTGATCCAACATATGATCAATTAAAGGCTGATCTCCCATACTTGGATGGGGTTGTTCATGAAATTCTACGACTCCATCCTCCGGCGCCCGAGATCACTCATCTCAATCATTTCTTGATCAATTCATATCATTTTTCTGTGTTCCAAGCCGCTCTATATATGGTAGATCTTATCTTCTCGACCACACAAATCTCGACGCCCATACGTGATCATGGTCTTCTTGAAGGCCTTGGAGCTCGTGAGGTGAGTCAATGCTAAATGCTGCATCATCTGACAGTAGACAAGGTGGTGGAGTATTAGGCACTTTCCGAAGACATGACAGTGGGTCCGAATAGTCTTACAATGTCAAGGCTCACAACGTTATCTAGTAGTATCCGTATCTGTCATATGGCTCATTGCTGTCTGCAATCGAGAGAAAATTGGTTTGTTATCACAATAAAACACTACAGTACTCCTTCTGAATTTACTCTTGGTCCTCAGGCTCAACCTCAAATTTGTATTCGCCTGGGTGATACAGTCAGTTTATTTTCAGGGCCACTCACATCCGACATACTTTGAGTGGGAGAAGGGGCATCCCATGCAATCTGACGAGGAGAACAAGTGCTGATTCCACTTGGTACGTATTCTTCCATCACCCTTACCCGGTAATTTTCCTCTAACCAGCGAAGTCTGTACTTTTGGTACAGATTTTCCAGCCTTGCGCAATTCGTCTCTGCCAGCTGCAGGCGCTCTTTCAGCCTGGCAATGGAGTCCACCTCATCATCTTTGTGTTTTTTTGCTGGCAGAAGCACAAGGGAAGCCTTGTCGTTCCTTGCTGATTTGTTATCATCAACATCCTCGCTAGCCTATGATGGACTTCAAGAATAATTGATGGTATTGACTGATTTTACCTGGTGAGTTCCTCATCGCTTTCACTTGCATGGCCCACTAACTCAATCCTAAGCAAAGGCATCAGCATATCTCGCCTCCGGGTAGGTGCGTTAGGTTTACTGCAGGTTTAAGTTGATACTATGTCCTTGTAGTTTGAAAGCCTGGCATGAGAGACGCGACATATTGGACCTAGGCAGATGTAAAGTGGCGAGCTGCCACAAGATGATGCAAGGTCAATGGAGCTATATGCCTATGGTGGTACTTATGTCACACTTTAATCTAGCCATCAGATTGTAGCTCCCCTTCAGCTCAAGGTTGACAGATATTCACCTTGGCCACCATTTTGGCGAACCGTAATCCCACCATTTGGCCCACTGCTCTGGCCACCGGTTATGTACCGTGCCTACTGCCCTGCCCACCAGTTAAGTTCAGTGCCCACTCTGGCTACCAGTTTCCCTGAGATATTACATAGCGTAATGCTGGGGATAAAAGCGACTTTCAGTATCTGTGAAGCCAATGCTATCCTTTCCTCCCAGCTTCCATGACCACCCAGGACACCACTTCCAGTATTTTGGCCAAACACGGCTCATCCACCCTCCAAATGGGACCTTGCAAAAAAGCGTAAATTGTCCCAATTGAATACAAGTTTTGTACACTCATCCTGTCCCCCAGCTCCTCATCCGATCCGCTCATCTCCCACAGACACCACTTTGGTCAAACGGTGTTCGCACTCTGCAACTACCCTTCCTTGCTCACCAATGGTATATTAAGACTGGAGCAAATGGAAGACACTCCATTGGAAGACTTCTCTGCAGAGTAAGAGACATACACAATCTGTATTCGCTTGTTGACTGATGTACTTGATAGAGAGCGGCAAGAACATTGCGTCTTTGAGCAACTCTTAGATTCCTACCCCGGCCTTCTGGACCGATTGAAGGATGGATCTGATGAGGACATCCTTCACGTTGGGGAGCTGCTATATCATTATCTGCATGGCCAGATTTTGCGCTCGTAATTTACAGATTGGCAAGGGAGCCACAGGTGCCAGAGGTGACAACACAAAAACGTTGAAGTCTGTGGTGCTTGATTGGATTTCGCCAAAAGGAGAAGCGATACAGCCTCCTTTACACAGAAATTCCAAAATTGACCGTGGATTCAACCATAAGCTCACTGGATCTCTCCTCTGTCCTGCTGGGCTGGATTGGAACGATCCTCGGTATGTTTTGGTTTGCCATCCTTGAATATTGCACTGATTTTTAATTAACAGGATTAAAGAGGATCTTTGCAGTGGTGAAATGTTAGTCTGTGGGGATCAATGGCCCATCTTCTTGTATGCCCACTATGTTTATGATCATGATGACCCATGGTCCGGTCTTCTTAGGAGCCACCTGTTAGTATGTGTGAGTGCGCACTCGTGATATCACCTCGCCCGTTTACTACATCATGTTCCAACAGGCCTACAAGCACGTTTTCACCTCTCCAAGTTCAGTTGACAGAGAGCCCAAAGCCACATGATCCGGTAATGCTCACCTCCATGGCATGAACTCTGTCACCATGGCCTCCATAGCCTATATTGCAACTCAGGTTCATCGATAATGATACTTTTGTGGCAGAGTAGTTTTGATGTACGAGTGAAGGTGCGATTTGCCTTAAGCTCATCTTCAGTGTTCTCATGAACCGACACGACCACAGACTCTGAGACATTCTACCATAGCCTCCTTGATCTCTTAGAAGACCCTGAGGAATCTAAGGAAGTTGACAAGCTGCTGACTTGGTGGAATCAGTATGTTTAGCATCCTTCACCACGTCGCCAAGGCTGATACATTATCACTTCCTCAGCCAAGCTTTTCCCGCTTCCTCTGCTGCCAAGAGACCCATCAGCACCAACAGTGCCTTATTCAAGATATGACAAAAACGAATGGCCCTCAGACAAGCTACAAACCTGCATGTTGTCTCTTCATAGATTTTATATACTCGTCTGTCTGTAGTAAATAGTATTGCAATCTAATGACGGTCTGCTTTCGCTTTGCTGATCTGGGGTCAACATCAGACAAGGACCATGCCTTGACTAAATGCCGATGGAAAAAATCGCCTGACCAATATCAACGCCTTGGCGCCTTTGGCCAATACAACATGTTGTTCTAAGATTTTATCTAGAAGTGCCCTTTAGAGTGTGTTTGCGGAGAAAAAAATGACTTGATTGCATTGCACATAATGACCATAGCTAAGCGGCTATCCGATAGATGGCACTACACTGCCATGCCTCCGCACCATGGGACTAAAAGCAGTCCCCATCCAAAAATGACTGACCTTGGAAGATCACAGCATTTAGAGAGAGAATGGGGAACATGCAACGAGGAACTATTTTCGTGTACCTTTGTTGTATCTCAAGCAGGGATCACAACCACATACCTAAGGTTGACGCCGAGGGAGTTCTTGTCAAGGGTACAATGACAAGCTCTGCTTGCATAAGGCAACCACGTCAGCAGAGCTCGATACTGCATTGAATACACTCGGCACCGTTGGATCATTGTCAGTTATAGTCCAACACAGTCCAGCCAAATAAAAAATTATCTGATGCAGTCATTAATTTATATGTTGGGGAGTATAGAATACAAATCTTGTTGTGCATATACTTATCGAAGCTCATCGAGGTTGGGGAGGATGGTAATTCACTGCTGCTTGTCGCACAGATTGTGCACTTGGCAGGTTGGAGCAATGCAAGCAGGAATTGCAACCGCATACCGAAGGTCAGTGCCAAGGGGGTACTTGTTGAGGGTACAATGACAAGCTCTGCTTGCACAAGACAACCATGTTGGCAGAGCTCGATACTGCATTGGATACGCTCGGCACCATTGAACCATTGGCAGTTACGGTCTAACACAGTCCAACTATATAAAAGTTTATCTGACACTGTCATTAGTTCAGAGATCGCGGAGGAAGTAAAAGCAGTCGAAGGCTACATGCCACCACCAGGGTAGGGTAGAATTGTAGTGTATTGCAGCTGGTCCTCAAGTAGGTGACGGTGGTTGGTCTCAACAACTTAATATTGCATTGCCACGTCTGATGGGTGTGGCAATATGTGCCATTTCGGTGATAAGCTGGCAAGTGATTGTGACTAAACTGTCACAATTATGCATTTGGCGGTATTTATCCAACTAAGTCCAAGTATTCAAAGCATGCTCATGAGGAGTACAATTTTGATGGATATTGTGCATATTTTAGATCAGATAAAGTCTTCTAATAATTTATTGTTTTCGGGTCGTTTACCTGATGACCTCCTGGAGGAACTAAATATAGCACACACCTAATATGCCTTGCAGCACCTCCCTGGATCATCACAACCATCTGGCAATTCTCTGGAGATCCTCTGGGTGCAAGGCACATTTTCAGTCACCTACTGTGGGAACTTCTCCACAACATAGCCCATTTTGGGTATTCTCCACAATATCTACCTTTCCCAAACCCTCCCCATCCATCCCTGGCTCACTACCACACCACAATTAGATACAGCTTGTAGTTAAGTAGTAGTATAGGTTATATACACATCATGGAACATAATGGACTGCTTTTCCTCCTTATTTTTGTACCAATACCTGCTACAGAGCCTCTGCAAGTGTGACCTAATAGAAAACATATCACAAACTGTTTCGTATTTTTGCCCATCTGGTATTGGGGTATTCTAGAGTGTTTATAATATGTTTATAAACATATATGTACCTCTCCTAGCCCTTATTTTACCCCCATAGAGCATCCTATATAATGTACTGTGCTATACTAGCATAAAATAGAAAATAGCTACACATTTTTTAAGCTTCAGGTATATAGACTTGGAAATATGATACCAAACATCCCTTCAATAGTATACACAACATATCAGGAGACCAGGTTAATATAATCAGTCCCTGTGGTGCTATGTGCTTACCCTCTTCTGGTGGTCCACCCCCTAGGAATTTTTTCCCTGCATCTCCAGCACTCCAGCATGGTAGGGTGCCTATTCATATTGATATCTAGAGTATGTAAATAACATAGTTTTGTGAGAATAGCAACAGAATCCATCTCTAGGATGGAATAAGGTCAGAGTATTGATATCAAGGATATATCTCCTGTTTTCGCTGATTAGGACTGTCAGACATGTATAGGATGATATATTATGATCAGACTATCACAGTATACACTGGGCATACTGGGAAACACAGTCCTCGAGTATTGGAAGGATCTATTAAGACATAAGAGCAGGGGAACCCAGTAGATTCTGTATCTTCTGATGATGTCACTTTGCCTTATGACAGGCTCCAAGACACCATTGATGCTCTTCATGATGAGGTTAAGAGTGTTGGAATTTGAGGGTTGAGCAAGCACATGCCAAGTCCATTGTGACAGGACAATGTGCACCTTTTTGTTCTATTGTTTGCCACAGGATACAGGCAGAAAGATGTATCCATATGGCTAATAATCCTAAAAGTCCAATACATCTTTAAGTCTAGTTATCCACTCTGGAATACATCTGTTCTGTATGGTTATCGATCAGCCAGCCTACCGAACTTCTGAGAATGGCATACACGGCTCCGGGAAGGTGGCCGTCCATTGACGTCCATCCCCGGTGGTCATATTATTTTAGTGTTTGCGATCTTGCGATCTCCCCAGGTACCATATCACTATGTAGTTCTGAGATCAAGAATCACATCAATTTAACCTTCACAATTGCAGTCCAGAAATGCTATTATTCATCAGGTCGGTCCCTTGATATAATCACAAGGAGGCGCATCCAAAGAGACCCCTATGGCGCACTCAGGCTTGGTTCAGTCCGGTTTTCTGTCATTATTTTCTAGACGCTAAACCAAACACTAGCCTAGGTTCAGGTTCAGCTGTTGGCCAAACTCTGGACTGAACACCGCTGAACATGTTTGGGAGGTCTGGTTCGTGTTTGAACCGGGTTCAACCACAATCTCGAGGTGTTGCATTGATAAGGCCCACCACAAACACCATGCGCAAACGCCCAGTGCACGTCAGCAACTGCTGACGTGGCTCAGACGAGTGCGGATGATGAACAACAGCAGGAGGAGCCTCAAGGGAAGCAGATAAGGAGGAGAACAAGGGAGAGAGACAAGCAGGAAGAAGGAAGAAGCTAGAAGGGATGGTGGACATACAATGATAGTGAGTACTCACTCACTCTGGTACTCGTCCCAGCACACCCCTGCAACACCAACCAAGAGACAATAACACCCACCACCTCCAGCAACAACAATGCAATGCCCACTACACCATCCAGCCCAGCAAGAGGATCAATGGAGGTATGAGAGGGTGCAATGCGGGTGCAAGAGAAACCGGTGCTGACAAGCGGGCCGCTGTGATCGAGGAGGGTTGTTGATTCCAATGGATGAGAGCAGGAGGAGGAAAGTCAAAGATGAGGAGGTGAACAAGGGAGCAGGAAGAAGGAAGAAGCGAGAAGGGACGGTGGATGCGCAAGAGAAACCAGCTCTGACGAGCGACTCGTCAGGATAACAATAGTGTACAGAACTTGGGGGTGATGTGGTCAGACACAGGTGTAAGCAGCTCAAACAACAAAATTACTCATGAACTGAGAGCAGGAGGTGGTGATAGCAAGGTGTAAGCAGCCTGAACGATGCATGAATGGAGAGCAGGAGGTGGGAGTGTAAATTCAAGCTTGTGAAACAAGAGACTTTGTGATCAGCACGTACTAGTAAAAGACCTATAAAAGTCCAATGATGCATAAACCAAAAATGGCGTACATGATCCTTGAGCTTTCTTGACAAAATTCCAAACTTCCTTACAAAACTACTGAACTTGAAGAGCTCGAGGAAGCAAAACAGACAGACATATATACTATCTTTCTTGCGTCTATATGTTTTTTTGCTTTCATTTTCATTAGATACGTACCGCTTAATGAAGAATTTGAGAATTTTGATCGAGTATATACAAAGTGCTGTGCATGATGTGAAATAAAAGTGGTGGGACTGGGGAAAAATTCTATTAATATTAAACATCATGTTCTATAGTAAAATGTATCATATACAGTGCTAACTGAGCTCCTGCCATCACCGCTAAAGAACCACAGAGGGTGCCGGTGGTGGGTCGACGTGGCTAGGAGCCCAGCACAGGCGTTGTGTGAAGCCCAGACTCGGAACACAGAACCTATATCAACAAAACCATCGAAGAGTCATACATGCATTCTGTCAGCCTCGAGCTTTAGATATAAGTGAAATGTGGGACTCACGAGTTACTGGTGTGTCAGGACACAAACTGCCTGATCTGAGACGCTGACTTGAAGCTTGAATGCTCGTGAATTTGATTGTATTAGAATTTTCATTTTCACTTGAAATTTTTCAGTGTAGCCTCTGAACGTGTATATGAAAGGTCACCCAGCCTGAGAGCCCCATCCTGGAACGCTCTAATCTAGAAAGTTCTGGTCAGGTACATTCGAGCTCAACTGACATACCTCAGATCGAGATCATCAAAGAAGTCAATGGAAGCCCATTAGGAGGAACTGGACATTCGGGAGAATCATTCATTTGAGGTATACGATCACTGCCAGTATAATTTGTAATCCCAGAATGCGTGATTTATAAGCAAAGGAAGCCGGCAGCACGATTCTCATGTGGATATATCCTGGATACATCCTGTTGGATAGTAGATGACTACAGAAGAGTATGTATCGGACTTTTAGGACTATAGTCCACTTAGGATACATCTATATAACATCATCGGCTGTGTTTGCTCACACTTTACATTGTCAGCTCTTATGATATGTTTCTCTTATTATGCCTACTGAATCTTTTGTTTGCCTTGACCTAAGAGCTGTTTTTATCACACTACAGTCTCAGATACCTTTTCATTCACAAGAGCAATTAGACTACTTAGTTAGCTACAGACTTGGGCTAACACCTC